CCCTAATTAGGGCAGTGCGGCTGATTCTGATGCCATCAAAAGCGATGTCTATCGAAAAGCGACGGACGGGAGAAACCCGGGCTTCATCGTTTCACCGTACTGGTATCGGCAAAGGGCTATGCGGGGCTTTGCTGTGTGGAGAACATGGCCCCACAACTCATGTTCCATGATAGTTCCGTGCAGTTAGCACATGTTGGAATTTGTTCTTGGCGCGACCAGTTTTGGTCCTTCTCCCGACGTGGAGAGCTTCGCTGGCGTGTGGAGTGTAGAGATTTTTGCAGCTGAGACTGATGGCTTTCGAGGACATGGCACCGACTCCTGAGGAATTGGCTCTCACCACAGACATCGATGGATACAGCTGCATGCCGGGAGTGGAAACGAACCTTGGTGAGCTGTTGACCACCGTGGCCCTGGAAAAGCCTGACGGTGTATGCTTGGAGACGCAAGATGGTTGTTATACCTTCATGCAGGCCTGGGGGCAGAAAGGGCAGCTACAGGGTTGCAGACTCAAGCATGAATGAAAACTGTCAAGCGCCGCAGTCAGGTGGCCCAGATGGCGGATGCAATGCGGAAAGTCCTGCGAAAAGCCTTGCTTGCCTTGGATCTTCCGACGGAGTCAGACTCGGAGGCACCTGACGCACACAAGCGGCGAGCCGACGAGCACATAGCGGCTTAGCTTTAGACTATTTAGATGCCGCCTCTAAGCTTCGCCTCTAAGGCACCACGGTGTTTTTGTTCTTGACTCTGCTGGACTCTGTGGGACTCTGTGTGTGCGGCGTGCGCTCCGGTCAGGTCACCATCGTCCTGCCACGGGGGGTTCAAAGCATTGCTTCGGTTCATGCCGTGATGTTGGAGAAATGCGCCTACAATGCATTCGACATTGGTGAACCGGTCGAAAAGCTCCGAACCTGGATCGAGGTCGCTCAGCCTCCCGTCATGATTTCATCCGATGCCAGTTTGCGGCGCTTGGGGATTATGGATGTGGCAGCAGCGCTCGGCGAATTCCCGAGAATGGTCCTAGATGTTGATCGGGCACTCCAGAAGGCAGTTGGCAACTCCTTCCCCCATCCTCCATGCCACTCGCCAAAGGATCACGACAGGCCATGGGCATCACACCATGTGGCTTCTTGACGCAACCTCCCCACCCCCTCCTGGCCCGTCCTGTTCCACTGCACGAGCAGGTTGGCCTATCTCATCTTCACCAGTGGCTCCACGGGCAAGCCGAAAGCAGTCATGATCCGGCACAAGTCGGCCCTGAATGTCGTTCGCATCTGGGGCAGGCAAGTGGGCCTGCACGACAGGGATCGCTTTGCCCAGGTGGCCTCGATGTCCTGGGATGTCCATGTCATCGAGGTTTACGCGACCATGGCCGCCAGAGCCACGAGCGTAACATGCCCCGACATGGTCAAGACGGGACCCGACATGCAAGCGTGGCTGAAAGAGAGACACATCACTGGCATGAGTGTGGTGCCTTCCCACTTGCGCACCATGGCGGGTGGAGGAGACGCTTCGATGCGCTCGTAGCCTCGGCCCGTGCGCGTCTGTCTTTCTTTCTTCCCTCGCAGGAGCCGACGTGTCTCGGATGCTGAACGGGCTTCCACACCTTCGAATTCTCGATGTCGGCGGCGAAGCCCTGGCTGCAGATGTCGTGGAGACCTGGGCACCAGGACGTCAGCTCTTCAACAGCTATGGGCCCTCGGAGATTTCTGTAGTCTGCACCGGTGGCTACGTGAAGACTGGCGATGTGATCACGATCGGTGCACAGCTGCCAACGTATCAATGCTACATTTTGGATCCGGAGACAATGGAAGTGAAAGCCGAGGGCGAGCGTGGTGTCCTCTTTGTGGGAGGCATTGGCTTAGCACGAGGCTACCTAGAGGAGGAGGAGAAGACAAAGCTCAAGTTCATTGAACTGCCCGGCATCGGCCGTGTGTCTCGGCCTCCACCACAAGAAGGGCGTGGGTAACTCGGCATCGAAGCGTCTCCCAGCCCAGGTCTACAACACGGGAGACCTGGCATCTCGAGGAGCAGACGGCCTCATTCACTACCATGGGCGGGTGGACTGGCAGGTCAAAGTGCGTGGCATCCGAATCGAGTTGGAAGCCCTGGAGCAGGCCAGCCAGGATTTTTTGGACATCAGGCCTAGCTCTGCAGCTAGCTCCGCTATGCTCCGCTATGCTCCGTTAGGCTCCGCTGCTCCGCCAAGGCCATCACCGAGCTTCCCAATGTGAAGCACTGCGAAGCTCGGGTCTTGGACGGCCGCTTGGCCGTGGGCTCAGAGGCTGTCAAGGTCCACCACTTCAGAGCTGTGCCTCTTGCACGCTTGATGCATAAGTAGCCGTGTCTTGCCAGCAGCTGTTATTGGAACTGGCAGGTTTTGCTGGCCTCGGGTGCCGCAGAGCTGTCGGAGGCAGAGCTGAAAGCGACCGCGGCTGCCCTGGGCCGTGGCTACGTTCTCAGCCAGGTGCCCCGAGAAGCTGTATCCGCTGAAGCCGAAGTACCATCGTAAATCTCGACGATCATGTAAGCATGTGCAAGCCGAGGCAAAGATCGTGGAGAACGATGCTTGGAAGTTCAACACTTCCGGGAAGCTCTTGCGCAATGCAGTGCCGCTGGACGATGCTAGCGGATGCGAAGTAGGGCAGAAGAAGGATGCTTGGGATGCCTTTGTGAAAGAGGGTGCCTCAAAGCTTGAGCAAGAGATTGCAGCCTGCTTGGCTCCGCAGCTGGGCCAGAATCTGGACAGGTGGGATTGCAACTCCCACTTCATGGAGGACCTAGGGGTGGACTCTGGCGGCTTTGGACGCCTCATTTCTCAGATGCGAATGCAGCCTTCGCTGCAGCAGGTAGACCTTCAGATGCTCTTCGACCATCCTACAGCACGATCGCTGGCCTCCGCACTGGCCTTGTCCAGCATGGACTCCGACTCGGAGGACGAAGAGGGCAATGGCCTCCCTCATTCCGGTGCCCTTTTACAGGGTGTCATGTCTCATCTTGAGGCAACTCCCCATGCGGTCTGCGCAGAGGCTGGCTACCGTAGCGTCACCTACCTTCAGCTCTTCAAGTTGGCCGCTTCTTACCAGCAGCTGCTGCATCAGAGTTTGAAGACGCAGGAGGGAGCGAGGGGGAGATGCGTGTCCATATGCTTGGACATGCCAGAGAGGATGTCAGCCTTACTTGCTGTGCTCAGAGAGGGCTGCACATTCTGCATGATGGACCCACGCAGTAGTGGCAGCACCATCACGGAGCAGCTCCGCTTGACAAAGCCGGGTCTTCTACTGGCCACAAAAGCCGACCATGCAATGTGGATGCGGCTGCAGGGCCACTGCAG